ATAAGAATAGAGTTTTCTCCCACACAAAATGCTGCAAAAATTTTCAAGTGTTTGATTCACAGTCCTGTCTGAAGCAGGAAGGAACTGGGACCCTTCTTAGTCTCCATTTAAAGCAAGCACAGGAGAGCTGTCTGGAGGATGCTGTTCACTGCAGCTTGGGGCTACTCTGCCTTTGCCCCAGGCCCTCAGAGGTGCAGGGCTAAGATTGACAAACTCACGGCACAATAAGTTTTCCCCAGGGCCAGCCAGTGCACTGCGCATCTCCACTGCAATCTATCACCTCCCAAAGCCAGGGACAGCACTGGGAAAGGGCATTTGGATGCCTGGGTGGCCAGTCTGGTGAGGGGCAGCCCTGTCTGGCACAGCTGTTCAAAGTGTGTCCCCCTGGAGCTAAACCTCCAGATGGTCCCACTCATTGCCTTCATCAGGTCTGATACCAAGGATGTCACAGAGAAGCACAGCAACATACTTGAAGTTTACTCAAACTAAATCATTTAGCTTCCCATCAAGAAATGACTGAAAATGCACACGTCTGGAAAATCAAGGATGAGAACATTGCTATGCATTTTGTATAAATAAACTGATCCTTTACAAGACATGGTGGTAATGCCCATGGGTGAGTCTGCTATGGCAGAGATGTGGACTCTCATGAATACATGTTTTGTAACTGCAATAGAAAAATTGCAAATGATGCATGCACATGATGTTCTGTTTGTATTGCACTGAAGGAAGGGGGATTGAGGCAGCAACCTAGATTTACTGAGCTGCCTCAGTAAACGCAGGGCACAATCTACCACAAGATTCCATCACCCAATTGTAAAATCTCAGCAACTTGGTTCCTGCTTGTTGCTGCTGTTGGTTGACAATTTTGAGGTGTTTCTATCTGTGCCAGCCATCTCTGCCTCACTTAGCTTCTGTCCCCAGGGCGTAGATCAGGCTATGTGTTTACAAAAAGTTCCATCATGATTTCAGGACCAGTGGCAGCCTCTCATGTACTGGAAATAATTCTTCAAGTTTGGCCATAAGAAACCTGACACAATGGGCTTGAGAGGCAATGAAATTATCTGATATAAATGCAGGAAACTCATTTTGTCTGTGCCAGACTCAGCTGTTACTGAAGCCCATATTTTTGAGGTAAAAAGATATGAGTCAGAGTGTTGGAAGGCACAGTAACATCCCCAAGTTCAGTTTCAGCTTTGCTTCACATATTCTACTAAGCTGCAGAATGGATTTTGAGTTCACACATAGGGTGTGAACAGCTTTGCTTCACATATTCTACTAAGCTGCAGAATGGATTTTGAGTTCACACATAGGGTGTGAACTGCAGTAGAAATCTGTAAAAACTTCAGTTAACTGGGGTGTGAAAAGACAAGGAATGTTATTTGGCAAAATATACCTCTAAATATGTATTTAAAGCATCAAAGAACCCAAGAAAACAAAGATGAAGAGGAAGAGGAAGAAGAAAGAAGAAAGAGAAGAAGAAGAAGAAGAAGAAGAAGAAGAAGAAGAAGAAGAAGAAGAAGAAGAAGAAGAAGAAGAAGAAGAAGAGAAGAAGGAAAAAAAGAAAAATAACAAAAAGTAATGCCAATGAGTGGGGTTTTGTCTCCAATGCCTCAGCCTCATTTAGAAAGAAAAGGATCCAAATTTGCACAATTGGAAGTGTCACTTTGGAAATTGGACTTTGCCCCAAGGCACTGATGGTGTGTCTGGCCCACTATGAATGTCCAACCCATGGCAGAGCCTGGAGCATGGTGGAGGCTGAGGCCAGGACCCAGGAGTTGAGGCCCCTGGGGCTGAGGTGGCAGAGTCTTTGCTGCACCCTCATGGCTCTGAATTATTGGGACTGCAGGGCTGCAGCATGGATGCAGTGGTGGAAATGGGTGTAAGGCAGGAGGGGCTGGGCTCCTCTGCATGCTGCACACTCCCTGCTTGGCCTGAGCACAGGAAGATTCAAGTCCTCCTTGCTGGAAAAAAGAAACTCTGAAGAAGATTCTGGGTGTCCTCTAACACACACAGATGAACACAGTGACTTCTCAGGTAGGGAGGGCAGGACACCCACTACAGCGGGATCCACATGGCTTCATGTGTTGGGGGCTCATAAGTTAGTCGTGAATGATGTATTGCCTTTCTGAATAAACAGACTCCTTATTTTATATATCTATAAAGTGAAGCTTGAATGTTCTTGTATATGTGTATCCTACATTACATATAAAAGAATATTAAGTCATCCATTTCCACTCACTTATTCAAGAAAATACCAACTATTTGTTCTTAAGTGAATTGAACAGAAGAGAAGTAATACTGAATGGAACACTATAAATAATGCAGTGGAAAATAAAATGGAAAAGCCACAAAGGCATCCCTCCCAGGATGAGAGGTCTGCCATTGACCAGCTCCTCTCTCCAGCCCTCACCTGCTGTGCAGGCCTGTGTCTCTTCACTGCTGGGTGGAGAGAGAGCCAGGACACAAGCTGTCTTCCATCTCAGGAAAGATCAGGGACATGGCCTAGGACATGGCCTTCTTTCAGCATTTTCAGGGGCTGTAATTTATAATTAACTCAGCAGCTGTGCTGTGGTATGTTCATAGTTTCTAAGAGTCCACACCTTAACTGATTAAGAGAATATGGTGTCCATCAATCTCATTTTTATAATGACCCTTAGAAGTGGAATTTCCAGGTTAAATGTATATAAGATGAATTTGAGGGTCGCAGATTTTTCACCTGAAGCCTCAGCATAGAGTTAGAGCCTGGTAGAGGAAGACTGAGTCTGCTCAGATCTATGTGGAGATCTAAAGTCAGAGAGATGGTCCAGGCATAGGTGCAGGACACCATGGCTAAAAAAGGCCTTGTCCAGGCCGCGTCATCCATTAGTAAGTTCTCAAGAAAGCATCACACACTGTACACTGCACAGGAGAGAGCTGGAATGGTGGCAGAGCTACTCCCTACATGCCTGAGGCCCCCTCTCTCACTCAGGGGGGATCTGTATGAAAAGGTCAGTCTGTTACAGAGCCCAACCTAACTGAATGTTTTCCACCCAGGTGCAGATCTGAACTGCCACATGTGGACTCACCGTAGCTATGGAGCAGGACAGGTGTTTACAGGGAGCAGGTCAGGAGATGGGGACACTGCAGGCAGGTCAGGGTATGAAGCCTTAAATAAGAGACCAGGCCCTCACCAGGCCCAGTTTCCTCCAGCAGTAACCACACCCTGCAAGAACGTGCATTAAATCTGAGTAACTGTTAAGGATTTACTCACAAAATTATATATTATAGAGAAAGTTTGAAGATACAAAATAAATGGTAGCATCCGTAAGTAAAATGACATGTGACCTTTAATGGACATGTGGTGTCCATTGATGTCCCCGAACCACATGCGTCAGAAGGAAATAGTCTGATGAACAGAGCAATAATAAGCACAGGCAATGGGTAAACATCACAGCTGCTTAAAAACAACAACAAAGCTGGGATACAATAAGTGCACTGGTGAATTTTATCCAGTATATAATAAAGAATAAATACTGATTGTTTTTCAATTCTTCAATCAAGTTGAAGGAAAATCCACCAATTTCTTTTAAGTGACAAAGTTAAAGTTATCCTGAGAATGAAGCCAGACAATGGGTTAAAAATAATATAAATGAAAAAACTCTGTTGGCTAATATTCCTACCAAACATACACAAAATTGTTCAGCTAAATGTTTGCCACGTTAACTCACCAGCATATTCAAAATTAACCAACATGATCAACACTGGGCTCAATCTCAGTGGTCAAAGAATGCTCCCTCTCGCACAAACTATGTTTCCACTGGTTTTAACATGTTGTATCTTACTATATTTTACTATATGTGATAGTATAAACAAAATTTTTATAGGCAGAGATAATGTAAAAACCGTTGTTCATTTTCTGTTAACTGGTTCTAAATACCCTGTAATACTTTCATTCTCTTGAATCACTTCACACTGTCTTGACATTCTCAATGCTATAGTATACAAAGTTTTACTCAAATAATTCAAGGAAAGAGGCACTATGGTGAGTACTATTATTTTAGATTATCTGGCAGTGAAACACAGTGATGCTTAAATTGTTCCATTATGACCAGTGTTGTTCTATTACAATGTCTTTTATCTCAATCTCCACCCTTTTTTTAAAATTAAACTATTTTTTCATTTTTCTTTCAATTAAGAGAAAACTAAATTTAAAAATAGCGGGATATACTATACTAACTTTTTTGTTTTCCTATTAACCTGATTTGAACCCCAGTATTGCTCTCCCCATCTTGTTCGGTCTGATTTTAATATATTCTATTTTGTTTGATAGTATCAAGATTGAGGGTATAGGCAACCACTTTGAGGGTGATAACATTTACTATGATGCCCATTATGGTTTGACTATTATCTTCTTTTGAAATCTTGTAAGGTCTCCAGTGTAGGTTTTATTGGTCTTGTTCTGTACTGTTTTGATTAGTTCTATTATATCTGATGATATAGGCAACTCTTTTAAAAAATAGCAAGAGGCACAATGGTAACGATTTTTGATCATCTGATATTCTATTTTTGCATGTACTATGCCCATCCTTCTGTTCTAACCAACTCTGCTTTGTTTAGTCACGTTAGGTATCATTCTCTTAAAAAAAAAAAAAAAGTAATAAGAACTGTGGGAGTAAAAAAACCCAAAAAGTGTAATTGTTATTGTTTAAAAAAAGAGGAAAGGAAGGTGGTCTAAGGCATATAACTGCACACTTGAATGTGTAGGATGGAAAACCATATTACTGAGCTTTTGTTGGATCACTGAACAGAACTTTCTGCATTCTCACTGCATGAATATCCACTTTATATGCTTTAATTTAATAATTTGGACAACTATTTCTAAGATGACAATATGTAACCTATTAACTAGTGATTTCTTATTGTATTTTTTTCTTGAAATTCTGTATTACTTGCACCCTTTTACTGCTTTTTTTAATTTCCTTTCTTTTTCCCCTTTAATTAAAAAAAGTAATCAAACCTGGAATGGATATGTTTTATTTATTTAGTTTTTTGGCACTGGAGATCAAACTCACGACCTCACACTTGTCAGGCAGGTGCATAAGCCACTGAGCTAAATCCCCAGCCCCCCAATGGATATCTTTTACATCTTGTCATCTTCACAGTAGTTGCCTCTTCTCTTGAACTTGATACCAACAAGCATACCAAATGTGAATAAAATCAGTCAAGGCCAAATATCATTCAAACAAACCAGCTTCAAAGAAGATCAGTAGTAGAAGACAATGTAAGTAATATAGGGTTTCAGTTTTAGTTAATAAGAAATTAAGGATAGTTACCATGGTATAACCTGCTATTTTTGGATTATCTCTCTGTTACCCTCAAATCTAATATGAGTAGACAGACCAGAACAAAATATAATCAAACTAAACAGAGCAACAAGACTATAGCTTTTAAATCCTGATACACTTTTAACAATGTCCTCTGCCTTTTTTTTTTTTTTTTTTTTTTTTTTTAGGCAATTTCTCACCTTTCTCCTTCTCAGGATACTATTATTCACTGTTGAGAGGGATATTAGTCTAGTCTCTTATGTTCAATTTCAGCATACATAAAGATAATGACAGTTACTATGAAAAGAATGAGAGACATTATGAAAGTCAATATCGACTTCCCCAAAATCAGTCTTAAAGACTGAAAAAGCCTGCATCATCCTGTAATTATTTGATTAGTTCTATAATGTTCAGTATATATTCCACGTGTGTGAAGATGGGAACAACTATTTGGAAGAAAACTAGAGACAGTAACATAGACAGTGAACATCTGCAGTGTACTTGCTTTGAAATCTGTGTTTCCTTATGAACTGTTCTGTTGTGTTTTGTCATGTTTAATCTTACCCTCTTTAAGAAAAAAAAGTGTGTAGGACAGATAAGCATATTAGTAACTTTTTGTTGGATCATTGAGGTGAACTGTTGACAGTGTCATTATTTGAATATCACTTTGTATGCTTTAATTTTGTAACTTGAACAACTAATTCTAATATGAAACTAATCAACTAGTGATTTCTTATTGTTTATTTTTCTGAAATTCTGTATTATTTCCACAATTTTTCTTTTTTCTCTTTAAATAAACAACATTACAATTCACCAAAAAATATAAAAATTAAGTTTTAAAGGCAAAATATTAAGTACATAGACACTATCCATACTTGAAAGTGAATAGCCCATTTCAGTTTAGCATGTTTAATTACAAGATGCCATGTTGAAGCACAAGGACACTTTACAAAATCTAAAGAGGTACAAGTGATTAACTGAAAACCATACAATATATGCACTTGAGTAGAGCTCCACCTCAGATTTGTCATTTCTGGAATATTTGTGAAGAAATATTGACATCTAAATTTTGTATTATTTCTTCAGGTCTCCTTGGGATTTTTAAAGTAAACTTAGATCTAAACTATCTAAACAGTGATGCTTTTTCTATGTATTTAACAAGAAACATGGATTGCCATATTTCTCACGTTGTTAATCCACATAGGATCACTGCCCAGTGAGCTCTTTCAGATATGTAACAATGATCATGTATGCTGAGAGTATTCCCATAGCACATAGGATTTATCTCTTCTTTGGTTTTTTTCATGTATTTCACTTACAATCTGGCTGCTGAAAGTGTCTCCACTTGCTTACATAGCCAGTGGTTCTTCCCAGTGTGAATTCTTTCATGTGTTTGCAATGACTGTATGTGGTGAAAGCTTTGCCACATTGTTATATATATAGGGTTTCTCACCAGTATGAAGTCATGGATGTATTTTACAATATCCATGTGTGGTGAAAGCTTTCCCACATTCTTCACATACATAGGCTTTCTCAACAGTGTAAATTTTATAATGTATTGGACAATGAGCATTTCTGCTAAAACCTTTCCCACATTCCTTACACATATAGTTTTCTTCCCAGTGTGAAGATTTTCATGCATTATGCAATATGTACATGTGCTCAAACCATTCTCATGATGCATATATACACTGGTTTTACCTTGAGTGTGAACTTTCATGTTGCTTACAATGTCCATGTAGGGTAAAAACTTTCCCATATAGCTTACATACTTATGGATTCTCTCCAGTGTGAATGCATTCATGTTGCTTACAATGTCCAGAACTAGTGAATCCTTTTCCACATTGCTGACATACATAGGGTTTCTCTCCAGTGTGAATTCTTTCATGTTTCTTACAATCTCCCCATGTGTTAAAAGCTTTCCCACAATGCTTACATACATATGGTTTCTCTCCAGTGTGAATTCTTTCATGTTTCTTAAAATCTCCCTGTGTTTTAAAAGCTTTCCCACATTGCTTACATACATATGGTTTCCCTCCAGTGTGAAATCTTTCATGAGCATTAAAATATGCACGTGTTTTAAAAGCTTTCCCACATTGCTTACATACATATGGTTTCTCTCCAGTGTGACTGCTTTCATGTTGCTTACAATGTTCAGATCTGGTGAATCCTTTTCCACATTGCTGACATACATAAGGTTTCTCTCCAGTGTGAATTCTTTCATGAACCTTACAATTTCCACGTCTGTTAAAAGCTTTTCCACATTGCTTACATACATATGGTTTCTCTCCAGTGTGAATTCTTTCATGTTGCTTACAATTTCCAAGTTGGATGAAGCCTTTTCCACATTGCTTACACACATAGGGTTTCTCTCCAGTGTGAACATTTTCATGTATTTGAAAATGAATTTTCCTGCTAAAAGCTTTCCCACATTTCTTACATATATGTGATTTCTGCCCAGTGTGAAGTTTTTCATGGATTACACAATAAGTACGTGTGCTGAAAGCTTTCTCACAGTGCTTACATTTATAACATTTTTCTCCTGAGTGAAGAGTTTCATGTACTTGACAATAATTACGTGTTGTAAAAGCTTTCCCACACTGCTTACAACTGTAGGGTCTCTCTCCTCTGTGAATTCTTTCATGTTTCTTATAATCTCCATGTGTGTTGAAAGCTTTCCCACATTGCTTACATACATAGGGTTTCTCTCCAGTGTGACTTCTTTCATGTTCCTTACATTCTGCATGTGTGGTAAAAGTTTTCCCACATTGCTTACATACATATGGTTTCTCTCCAGTGTGAATTCTTTCATGAATCTTAAAATATGCACGTGTTTTAAAAGCTTTCCCACATTGCTTACACACATACGGTTTCTCTCCAGTGTGACTTCTTTCATGTTCCTTACATTTTGTATGTGTGGTAAAAGTTTTCCCACATTGCTTACATACATATGGTTTCTCTCCAGTGTGAATTCTTTCATGAAGCTTACAATTTGCACGTCTGTTAAAAGCTTTCCCACATTGCTTACATACATATGGTTTCTCTCCAGTGTGAATTCTTTCATGTTGTTTACAATTTCCAGGTTGGATGAAACCTTTTCCACATTGCTTACACACATAGGGTTTCTCTCCAGTGTGAACATTTTCATGCATTTGAAAATGAATTTTCCTGCTAAAAGCTTTCCCACATTTCTTACATATATGTGATTTCTGCCCAGTGTGAACTTTTTCATGGATTACACAATAACTACGTGTGCTGAAAGCTTTCTCACAGTGCTTACATTTATAACGTTTTTCTCCGGAGTGAAGTGTTTCATGTACTTGACAATATGTACGTGTTGTAAAAGCTTTCCCACATTGCTTACATATGTAGGGTCTCTCTCCTCTGTGAATTTTTCCATGGTTCTTACAAATTCCATGTTTGGTAAAACCTTTCCCGCTTTGCTTGGATACATAGGGTTTCCCTCCACTGCAATATTTTCCATGGATCTGAACATTGTGGTGTGTTTCTGTTTTTTTCACATTCACATTACCTTCTGCAGTACCAAGGAATACTTCTTTACACTGATTCCAAGATGTATGTCCATAGGATTTCCCTAACTTGTCATTTCTGTAAAGAAAAAAAATCACATATAGGATTTATAACCATATTAGTAAGTTTTTGTTGGAGAGTTGAACAAAACTGTGCGCAGTCTCGCTGTTTGAATCCCCACTTCATATGTTTCACTTTTGTATTTCATTAACAATTTCTATGAGCACCACATGTAGCCATCATCTTGCGATTTCTTACTGTTTTTTTCACTTTGAAAGTAGTATTATTTCTACTTAATTTGTTTGTTTAACATTTCCTTATATTAAATTTAAAAAAAGAAAAAATTCACAGTGAAATGCATCTCACTTTAATGACTGCATTAATGTCAAGTTCTGTTTTTAATGCCTGCTAAGAAATACTGATCATGAAGCAAAAGAATGGCCTTGTAAAATATGTTGAAAACAACCATTCCCAAAAGACTGGTACACATTTGGAAATCTTACAAGTTGGTACTTTGAAATGCAGAATCTTTAGCTTCACTTTGGGCATGGGTACATATGGGTATCACACACAGATCATTATGATATGTTTCCCCATCACAATCTCCCTTCTATCCTTAACCTGTAGTTCCCTTTTCCATATGGTCAGTCTTACCCTCTCTATCAACTCTCTTTCATTTCATTCCACAATTTATATTTTGCTTTCTCATCTAAAAGAAACCCTGTGACCTTTTAGGTTTTATAGCAGAGCTATTTCACTGAACTGATGGGTAAAAGACCCATCTATTTCTTATGGTAAATGACATTATATTATTTATTTTTTGCCATTATATAACACATTTTTTTCTTTTCTGGGCTGGGAATGAACAACAGGTATTAGCCTAAAATCTATAGCTTTTTTAAAATCTATTTTATGAGATTTTTCACTGATCATTAAGCTGTGAAGTTTGAACTTTACTTTGCCATTCTGCAAAATCTGATTCCTAATGTGCTGGGTTACAAGAATGCACAATCACAGAGAGTCTATTGACATTTTCCTTCTCCACAAATCCAGTTATAGATAGATATGCTTCAAGGCCTGATCTGTTATAACTTGATCTGCTTTGTATGTGAGTAAGCATGTATCAGTATTTTATGTGGATTTTGAGATTTTAATAGTATCCAGGACAAGTATGAGGGGATCAATTTCTAGAGACAACTGCATACTGATATTCAAATTAGTACACTAGCATTCCACCAGCCTACTAAGAATATTAATCAGAATGGTTGATTCTCTAGAGCATGGCTTGGAAACAAGAGCACTGTTTTATTTCAAATTCTATTGCAATCTTAGCAATTTTTACATAATGAATGTGTTGCATTCACATGTATATATCGGTACAAAAACTGAAGGCAGAATGTCATAACTCAAACTGTATGCCTATCGTATACATCTACATGCAATGTCATGCATTTCCATGATTTAATTCACTCATTATACATACCCTAGCTTATATATCTTCGGAGAATATTATTGACATTAAATTGAATGGTGGTCATTTTTTTCTGCTGACTCACTAATTACTCAGGAACATTCCTTCTCCTTGTGAGTGCGGATTACCTTAAGTATCTCCAGTAAATTTTGCCTTCTTTTTCAGCTTCCTGGATATCCTCAAGTCCTCCTGAATTGTAGACATACAAATACCAGGACTCATTAGATAAATATATACAGATTAATAAGTTTTGTTTAGATATATGATATAACGTGTCCAGATCTGAGATAGATTTTAAAATATTTTCATGTTTTTAATGAAACAGCACTGATGAGCAACAAACAATATTCTGACAGTATGAGTGACAAAAAGATTTCATCCTTACCAATTGCAATCATGTTGCTAAAAGTTTCACCCATCACATCTCTATAGAGGTTCTTTTGGGATGGACTCAGCAAACTCCACTCCTCATTGCTGAGGTCTACGACCACATCCTCAAAGGTCACCGCCTCCTAAAGAATCATACATATATTTCTCAAAGGAAGGTTGAGACACCATGTTTGGGATATCTTAAATTCTCTCCTACAAATCTGAATCAAAAGCAAAGTGCGGTGGTGCATATCTATAATCCCAGCACTCAAAAGGCTGAGATAGGATGGCATCAGTGAGGTCAGGGCAATTCTAGGCTCCATAAGGTGTTCAAATCCAGCTGATATACATACAGAAAGCTTGTCTCAATAAAACAAAACTAAACTAAACAAATAAAACCAAACAAAACAGCTGAATGAAGACTGACTTCTTCAAACTTAAATCCATATCTTGGTCATTAATTTTGTGTATATACACATTTTTGAAGACAGCAAATTTGATGCTAGATTGCAACTTGCTGCCAATGTAACAGACAAATAGGAGCACTGATTCTTGTCCTGAATCATGGCAAGATTCCCTGTGCACTGTCTCTAAAGTGGAGCTCACAGTGAGAAGCCTGCAGGACCAGCAACCACAAAGCACAGAGGCAGATAAATATCCCATCAATTGACTGGGAAGCCAAGCAAGCACCTCCCCTCCCTGGTCAGTGGTTCTGGTTTGGCAGACGGCAGCCCTTCCAGTGGGAACACCAGCAGCACCTCCTGAGATCCGTGCCTTGCTGGAATTTAGGACACTGGGGAGCCAAGCAAGCACCACTTCTCCCTGGTAAGCAGTGGCAGTCTGGCAGACGGCAGCCCTTTCATGGAGAGAACCAGCAGCAACTTCTGAGATCCATGCCATGTTGGAACTTAGGACACTGGGGGCCAAGCAAGCACCTCCCCTCCCTGGTCAGCAGTGGCAGTATGGAAAACTACACCCCTTCCAGGAGGATAACCAGCAGCAGCTCCTAAGATCTGTGCTATGTTGGAACTTAGGGCACTGTGAAACCAAACAACCAGCCTGTCTCACTACTAAGCAATAGTGAACCTATTGATGCACCACCTAGACTCAAACATCCCACTTCCCTACCCCTCTTCTCCTGTCACCCCACATTAGCAAATGGGAACCAGAAATCTGAGCGTCTCCTGGGAAGTAGACCATAGCAAATAAGGGGGACTTCCTTCTACTATCTCCTTGAAGGAAAATATTTTTATTATTGTTTCACTCTATTCTGATTAATGGTACTGCTCTATTCAATATTCTGTTTTGGTAAGTTGTATAATGTTCTGTATTTCATCTCATTTTGATATATGTGATTAAAAGAACAACTATTACAAAGATAACAAAATATACTGTGATACCTATTACTGTTATCCCAGTAACCTGTTGTGAAGTTGTGTACCAGGATCACTGTATGATCTTAGTTGGCCTTATGCTGCTGTGTTCTGTTGTATTTTACCAATTTCAAAACTTTAAAAAAATCTCATCAATCACTTTGATAGACTAGATGATGTCTCTTCAAATCTCATTTAAGCCAATGAGAACTTTGTTCTTAATATACTTAAGCAGCATTTGAAACATTAATTCGGTTTCATAGAACAAAACATAAATAACATCAAATATGGTACATAAACAATAACTCAAGTGTTAGTGGAAAACATCTGTATTTTAAAAATATGCATATAAAATGAAACCAGACCCAAGTTGTAAATTATACCTCACTGTCACCAAGTGATCTCTTTCCATTCAAATATAAGAAATATATCTTGGGAGGCTGGTGAAGGAGTTCTTCCTTTAATTTGGGGCAATTCTAAGTTACAGAGCTGTCTAAAATAGACAAACCTGACTGAGACACCGAACAGACAAAGTGAAACTTAAAAAGAGACTGCATAAGACACCTTTGGTTTGTTTTTAAAAATTATAAGCATACAATACAGAAAAACTCCAACAATACTCAACACTTTCTGAGAAACAATGTGGATATCTTCCATACTACACAGAAAACACTTTCATAGTTGGGTATTTAGCTCAGTGGCATGAACGCCTTCCTGGAAAGCATAGGTCATGAGTTCGATCCTTGGTACAAAAAAAATTCAAATTTCGCCTTCATGACACGGGGGCAAAATTACAGATAATCAAAATTAAATCTCAAGTATGGAACACAAAATTCATGGGTTGACAGGGATGTGGAATACTAACTGTTGCCAGAGCTGGTGTTGATCACCTCAAGGAAGCAATCAAAACCCAACTTAACTTCATACTTACTCTAAGAACTACCTGACTTTCAATGAAGACCTTCTCTGTTGTATGTCCTGCTATTGGCTTCCTGCATCCTGTCAGTCACTTCCACATCCTTTCCACACTCCTCTGATCTATCCTAAGCCGAAAACCCTTCATGCCTAACAATTGATATCACTGCAAAATTTCTATTTAGGGCTTCTCCTTTAAACCACTTAGATAAGTCCATTGTAGAGAATTTCCATATTTAAACTGTCTATGAACAACCAAGCTACTAAATCAGCTCTTAATTCAGAGATGACACTCATATTCCTTCCCATTCAGAAAGATATCACATGTATATGTCCATGCAAATGGCTAAATTTCGGCATTTTTCAATGAGAATTTAACAGGTAGCCCTTTCTGGAATTTGTCCCTCACAAATTTTTACCCTGTCCTTGATAACACTTTCATATTTGCTTCATTTTTCTCAGACTTCAAAACCCTATGGCTGTTCTCACAAACCTAGTCTGTGAGCAGGCATGCCACCTAAATAATTAAGTATGTTCAGAAATTATTTTGCACTGATCTGTATAATACACAGGACTTCACCAGTTGTTTGGGAAGCCTTTCTGCACGGAGGCAAACTACTACACATCTCTGAATTCTCAGGACCTTCGCTACTACCTGTCATGAGGATGGAAATATGAGAAAATAGTATCAATTTAGGAGATCATTATAAATACAAAAAAGCCCAAGTTTAAGTTGAGCCACTGTGGCTATGAGGCCCTGCATTACAGACATTAATAAACTTTGGACATTCCAGATCTGCTACTCTGAGGAAAGAGAGCAGAGACCTAGCTCATTACTGCTCTACAAGCTACAAAAAGTATCATAGTCAGGGTCTTCTCAAGCTCCTTCCAATGCCTAAGATTGTGGAGTTACCAGGCCAGCAGTGAATTTCAAAGATGATACTTGAGTCTGCTGCTGTCACAGTGAAGCCAGGGTTCTGGGGACCCCAAATCACCCTTGCCAACAGCAGAGGCAAAAGGGACAGTGAATGACCCATGGCCAATGCTGGAGTACCTCAGGAGCTAAAGATAACTAAATACCTGAGGCTCCAGACACTGGAACGACTCCTAAATACTTGTAACTGGTTTCAACCAATCCACCCTATTTCTGGGCTCCCCTCCACAACCTCACCATTCCATGGCTCCAGGATCTCTCAGGTTCTTTGCTAATCAGGCCACAGGACATCAAAAGTACTAAATGAGATCCAGCAAGCATTTTGCTACCACTGTTCTACTCAGAACAGGTAAATCATGCTCAGACACCAGAACAGACAGAGGTCACAGCCAGCAATGGAAGGCCTCATTGGACATTTCGTATAGCCTGCCCCTCCATCACTGACTGATTCCTGCTCTACTGCTCTCCTTCTGAGTCAAGAATAAACAGGGAAAGGAACCCCTCCGTGCAAGAGAGGATCCCAAATGATAGACTGTAGTGCAGAGACTTCTGCAGCTGCCATTTTTCTACAGTGGTGAACTCAGCTCGACAGAGGAGTGTTCGTACTGAAGAGCTTTACCTCAGGCTTTTAATTTTCAAATTCATTTTATTTCAAGGAAAAAAGAACACATCAACTAAAATTAAATTTCAAAACATGTCAATCAGGGGGCAACACTGGTATATACATTGCACATTGTCATCCCCAGATCATTCACCCAGAGCAAATACATCTGTAATCAATTTTCCAAACAGTGCTGTTATAAGCAACTGAGTTATTTAAATACTATTGGCATGAGACAGGATTAGGTCCTCCAAGGAGCCCATGCAGGAGACCAGATACCTTGCAACTATGGGGAAGACTGACACCTCATGCTATGGGGCAAGGCTGAAGGCAAAGATAAGCAAATTCATCCATATCCTAAGGATTGATATTCTAAATAGTTCCCTAGCACTCTGAGGAAATCAGGAGTCACCATTCAAAGAAATGTATCCTTATCCTAAAGAGTGACATTCTAAATAGTTCCTATCATACTGAGGAACTCAGAAGTCACCCTCCCAAACCCCTAAGGGAAGAGTCACAGCTGCCTAAGAATGCCTGCTTTCTATGTGACTCCCTTACCCCTTTGTTCCCAATTTAATCAACTTTACCTGAACTTATAATCTTATTGGCTACCATAGCTCTGTACCATTTATGTCCATCAGAATTGTGAGTTCCTAGTTTTCCCCACCTTAAACTCATTTCACCACATGATTGTACTCTATAAAGGTCCGTAGAAAGGACAGTGTTTGGCAACCCTAACCCCTTCTCTCTCTCTCAGGCAACTTTCTTTATCTCAATAAGTATATTCTTCTCTTAATCTCTGTTGTTCCTAAAATTCATTCTTTGACTTTAGAGAACAAAAATCTCATATCAGACATAGTTGACCAGGAGATTCATTCCACTATAGCAATATCAGTATAAACTTTTCTCTTTCTGGAAGTCAGAGAAATCAGTTGTAGTTTATATTACACAATGTTGAACTCACCTTGCCAGGGATACTTGCATTGAAGGCCTTTATCCCTGCCTTTAAGTGCTGCTTCTATTTCTGAAAGTGAACTGATCTGTAATTTAGTTATGGTATCTACAATGCACTAAGGAAATGACTTAAAATATTTCTTATGAATGGTTTACCACCAGCCAAGGAGGAAGACAGATAGCAAAAATTCTTTGTTTTGATTTCTTCATTCAAACTGATGGATGTACTTGAAAGAGTTTTGCCCTAGAAACAATTACAGGACTTCCTGGTAGTAGTACAAGGTGGAAGAAGGTGAAATCAGGGATGCTTAATCCTATGGCCACTTCCTCTTTTCTCCTTGATTATAACTTCCTCTTTCTTTCCCA